AAATCCAACGTTAGGAACACTGCTACAACCACTTAACAGCAGTGGTGATGCAGTTAACCATGAAGGCTGTAATTTATGGATGCTTTACCTGATCTGAAGAATACGTTGTGACTTTTATTCACATTGGCATTTATTTTGCCCAGTTTCTGTAATTCTAAGTATTCACAGAAATGTCACTAATGAGGTTGGACTCAAACTTGTTGATGTTGTTAACCACTGTTGATTTGAAAAGAATTTAAGATTGCTATTGTTATTACTCTTGCATGCCAAGGAGTTCATTGTAACTGACATGATGTTATGATCCTAGAAAAAACAGTGCTATTTTGACTTCTGAAGTAAATGATAAACTTACTATAAGTGTGAAAGATATCTTTGAAACCCCAAAAGAGTCTTTCTTTTGTAGGCCCTATAATCTGGGAAAGTTTTGGTGGGTTTTGTCCTATACTTTCAGGTCGCTTAGTCCTATATTCCTATATTTTTGGACCCCTAAAGGGCTTGACTCCCTGCTTGAAGTATTTCTGAAAGAGGAGATCATCAATAATTAAATGGTTTTTAATGAGAGCAGTTTTGGGAATATTGAAACTAATAGGAAAACTCAACTTCTCAGCAAACAAACCTTATTGGAAACTTGTAAAGGTCACCCACGTCCCACCCACCATCCAACAGAGAGAGTCACTGAGCGTAGATGCAACTCTTTTTTCTTGGAATTCGTCAAGGTACTGGGAGCGGTAACGGTTTGTTGACCAAGTGAGTTCACTAGCTGTATTAGTTGTTTTTTGGGCAACGACTGAGAAAATGTTCCACAAATACTTTTTTTTCATAAATTTCAATTAGTCTAATTAAAAAAAAGCTTACAACAAATTAGTCTTCGTAGACTAGGCACGTGATGACACCCTGCTTATTTGCAGTTGGAACATAGTTAAATGTGGTATTCAAAACATTCCTATGGCAAGTTAGAAATTAACTTAATGACACCGCACTTTTTAAACCGTGACAAGGGTAAATTAGTTTTGTTTCCCACTGACCCTTTCATTTATCTGATTCTGATTTGCACGTGCAAGTTGCTAGTGAATTCACGTGCATCAATTCATATCATTTGAAAATCTCGACACACAGTTAGCCATTTAAGTTCTCCGGAAGCCAGGGTAAAGGTTTTGAAATTTTAACCAAGTTCAGTCTATGAAAAGCTATAAAGTTAGATAAGCATAGTTTTAGTTCATTGTTACCGCCCTCATCCACTGAACACGGAGCTCTATTGCTCTCATTCAAAATGATAATTATCGGAAACACATGGCGAAGTGTAATCATAACAGAAAGTTTGAACTTACTTACTTACCATTACTATGGTCTCTGGCATCATCAGAAGAGCAGGCCCAATTTCATTGTGGCTTAACTTATTATTGGATTAATGCTTACTGAAGGTGGTGTGGATCTTGGCTGTGTGGGAACTGCATAGCTCTCAACCGTTTCTAGACTGTCACTGAGGTGCTTCATTGCTGCCCTTGTTTCAGCCATAAATGAAGTTAAGTTGACTTCCATTCTTTTTAGTGTCTGGCAGAAAACATGGTGACAAAAACAGGTCAACATTATGTCACTTCGAACTTATCACCCAATTCAAATTCAAAGTTGTCTTAATAATGGACAGTTTTTGCAGCTCACCTCGAAAACCTGTTACTGATCACTGTCAGTCGTCTTCTTGAGTTAGATTGTCTGAAAGCCAGTCCAGCCATTCGATATGCAAGGACATGTCTAACATGTCTTGGGCTTCCTTGATCCTCTCGCGTTGTTCCTCTCTCCTTCCCCTTTTCTCTCTCTTTTTTCTTTCCAGTTCTTCCCTTTTCCTTTTCGTTTTCTTCTTCTTTTCTCTCTTCTCTTTTTGTATTCTTTCCAACTCTTCCCGTCTTCTTTTGTCTTCCGTTTCTTTGTCTCCCTCTCCTTTCTTTCCAGTTCTTCCCTTTTTCTTTTCTCCTCCCTTTCTCTCTTCTCTTTCCTTTCAAACTCTTCCCTTATTCTTTTCTCTCCTTTCTTTCCAATTCCTCCGTTTTCTTGTCCTCCTCCTCTCTCCAATTCTTCTTTTATCCTTTTCTTTTTCCTTTCTCTCGTCTTTCTTTCCATTTCCTCCATTCTCCTTTCCTCCAGTTTCGCTTCCTTCCTTACCTCAATTTCTATTTCCTCGCATCTCCTTTCCTCTCTCATTTCACTGTCTTTTAGATCCTTTCTTTTCTTTATTCCCCTCTTTCCTCCCCCCCTGTTTTTTCTGTTCAACCCTTTCTTCTACCTCTTCCTGTGCTTTGTGTCTCAAGTTTCCTTTCCTCGTTTTCCTCTTCTACCCTCCCTTATTTTTGTCTCCTCCATGCATCAAACGCCAACTCGACTCCCTCTGGCTTTTCCCTTCTAAATATTGTGCATACAATTCCTCCTCCTTCTGTTTGGAGATGGGGAGGTCTGAGACATTGTCTTGTTTGTCACGCTTTTTGTTGTTTGCCCTACCGTTTTGATTAAAGTGCCTGATGTCATGCGTTGGGGAACTGGAACCTTTTTTTGTTGTTTGCCAGGCGGAAGTGGCGTGGCTTTGGCGCCAATCTTGAATTACATACCTCTGTTCATTTAGCCAGGTAAAAAGGGCTTTCCTTTTCATGGCGGATCAAATCCCTGGAACATTAAGAGAAAGTAATTTAAAATCCAAATATTCTTTCATGAATGGGTAAAACTAAGTGGTGCGCATACAAATAATTTTCCACCGCAGCAGTACACAAAAAAATTGAAAAGAGGTAAAAACTGAGGTACAAAAACACTCAACAGGTAGGTAGAAAACACACACACTACTCCCAATTGTTCTAACCTACACATGCCCCTCCCGTTACAAAAACAGTCTGATGAAAAGTATAAAGAAGTCAATTGAAATAAACTAGGTCCAAAAACCTAGATTTGTCTGTTAGGGAACAAATCGGCCATTGATAAATTATTTATCAGGTTCTGGTTTGCTAAAGAAAGCAATCTTTCCCTCCTCTCTTGCTTTTTTAAGACTTGGTCACTGCTTTTTTCTTCTTTTGCTTATTTCATTAGGAAAATCTGCATAGACCGTAATATCGATATCATCTGCCAGCTTGCGCACTCTTCTAAAAACCACCTCACCAAGCTAAGAAACGGTCAAATAATTTACCTTCTAGATTCTGTAACCTGCTTTCTACCCCTGCGAGCATTTCGAAGATCGGTTCTAGTTGAGTAGCGATTTTTTCTGTCACGTTCAAGGACTCCAGAACTTGATCGTTGTCGCTGAATACTATGCTAATGTTCGGTTCCAAGCATGGACTGTTGCGGGCCTTTTTTCCTTCTGGAGAGCAAATGTCGCCATCAGAGCTGATGCTAACACGTGCCTTCACTTTCCGTTTACAACTTTGAGCCATAAGGCGGGTTCATACTGGCGAAGTAAGTAGAACTTAAGTACAGCAGGAGCCCAAGTACACTTGAGAACATGTATGTTTTCTTACTGTGATAAGCGTTCACATTTAGAATTCAAAGTATGCTTGAAGCAATCGGGGTTGTCAATCAAGTTACGCAGTAAAATTTCGCGTGCATGAAATAGCGTGATTAGGATTTTAACTGCGATATGCACAAAACATAAGTACAACATGCAACCTCAAAAACTTCGAATTGCTTACCTTGTGTTCCTCATAATTTTCTTACTGCAACGACAGAGAGCTTTGCTATTACAGCAATTTTGCCACTTTCTCGTCGCAGAGTNGGGAACTGGAACCTTTTTTTGTTGTTTGCCAGGCGGAAGTGGCGTGGCTTTGGCGCCAATCTTGAATTACATACCTCTGTTCATTTAGCCAGGTAAAAAGGGCTTTCCTTTTCATGGCGGATCAAATCCCTGGAACATTAAGAGAAAGTAATTTAAAATCCAAATATTCTTTCATGAATGGGTAAAACTAAGTGGTGCGCATACAAATAATTTTCCACCGCAGCAGTACACAAAAAAATTGAAAAGAGGTAAAAACTGAGGTACAAAAACACTCAACAGGTAGGTAGAAAACACACACACTACTCCCAATTGTTCTAACCTACACATGCCCCTCCCGTTACAAAAACAGTCTGATGAAAAGTATAAAGAAGTCAATTGAAATAAACTAGGTCCAAAAACCTAGATTTGTCTGTTAGGGAACAAATCGGCCATTGATAAATTATTTATCAGGTTCTGGTTTGCTAAAGAAAGCAATCTTTCCCTCCTCTCTTGCTTTTTTAAGACTTGGTCACTGCTTTTTTCTTCTTTTGCTTATTTCATTAGGAAAATCTGCATAGACCGTAATATCGATATCATCTGCCAGCTTGCGCACTCTTCTAAAAACCACCTCACCAAGCTAAGAAACGGTCAAATAATTTACCTTCTAGATTCTGTAACCTGCTTTCTACCCCTGCGAGCATTTCGAAGATCGGTTCTAGTTGAGTAGCGATTTTTTCTGTCACGTTCAAGGACTCCAGAACTTGATCGTTGTCGCTGAATACTATGCTAATGTTCGGTTCCAAGCATGGACTGTTGCGGGCCTTTTTTCCTTCTGGAGAGCAAATGTCGCCATCAGAGCTGATGCTAACACGTGCCTTCACTTTCCGTTTACAACTTTGAGCCATAAGGCGGGTTCATACTGGCGAAGTAAGTAGAACTTAAGTACAGCAGGAGCCCAAGTACACTTGAGAACATGTATGTTTTCTTACTGTGATAAGCGTTCACATTTAGAATTCAAAGTATGCTTGAAGCAATCGGGGTTGTCAATCAAGTTACGCAGTAAAATTTCGCGTGCATGAAATAGCGTGATTAGGATTTTAACTGCGATATGCACAAAACATAAGTACAACATGCAACCTCAAAAACTTCGAATTGCTTACCTTGTGTTCCTCATAATTTTCTTACTGCAACGACAGAGAGCTTTGCTATTACAGCAATTTTGCCACTTTCTCGTCGCAGAGTGAGACGGAGAAACAGACAAATGTTGCTGATGTTCATGGCCCAAATGAGACAACAAAACGTGCAACGCAGAAGAAGAGCTTGGGTTTGGCCACGTCCCCAGAACTGGTTCAAAAACTTACTGGCAAGTCCTGCGCTAAATTTTCTTTGGACGGAACATCTCAGAGTCACCCGAGAATCATTTGAATACTTATGCGACCTTGTGAGAGTAAACCTGCAAAAGCAGCACACGAGATTCCGAGTCCCTGTTAGCGTGGAGGAAAGAGTTGCCCTAGCACTCTGGCCACTGGTAACAGGGAACAGTTACAGAAGTTGTGGGTTACAGTTTGGATTAGGAAAGTCAACAGCGAAAATCATCTGTAGTGAGTTCGAGCAAGCTGTTTTTGATCTAAAAGATTGTTTCATAACATTTCCTTTAACAAATGAGGAAATTGGAGAGAAAATTGAGGAGTTTGAGGAGCTGTATGGAATAAGCCAAATAGTTAGAGCGTTCGATGGGTGCCACATAGAAATAAATGCTCCACCACAGAATCACGAAGATTATTTTCATCGAAAGCAGCACTACAGTATAAATCTACAGGCCATAGTCGATGCCAAATTGAAGTTCATTCATGCTACTGTTGGGTACCCTGGAAGTATACATGATGCTCGAGTTTAAGGCTAAGTGGCTTGTACGATTTCGCCGAAAATGAGCAAATTCTTAGTGGTCCAATGCGAAATATCAATGGAACAGAAATCGGGCCTCTTTTAGCTGGAGACAGTGCCTATCCACTCACAAACTGGCTCATGAAACCCTTCCCTGATAGAGGTCACTTAACTGCCGAACAGAGGAAATTCAATCTTAAGTTTAGGGCACTGGGATGCGTAGTCGAAAGAGCTTTTGGCATGCTTAAATCAAGATGGAGGATTATTTTGAAGAAAATTGAACAAAAAACGACAACTTTGAAGAGGACTGTAATTGCGGCTTGTGTTTTACACAATATTCGCATTGAAAGGGGAGACCTACACGACGCAGACGATAGCGACTCAGACGATGGTTCTGATGATGACAACGGAGGGCGAAATGCTTTTGAAACCGGCAACCAAAATCACTATCCAGGTCAGAGTAGTAAAACGTCATTAGTATAAAATTTCTTCACTCGTTCATCAGACGTCATTTCCAGGAAAATCATTGGTGGCGTGGCGAGATGTTGGCAGTTTTTTCATGCTAAGCTGTGTCAGGATGTCTGTCATTTTACGTTAATTTAGAGTAACTTTTGATATTGTCCTTGCTTTAATTAAAGGAAGCTTTAATTTCAGGCCAAACTTGTCCTCAAAGAGGATTGTATGGCAGGATATTTTAAGCATATGGCGTATGTGTGGAAACTTTTTCACACTTCCTCAGATTAGAACAAAACTAGTCAGTGATACAAAAGTTGAAGTAAATTCATGTTTTGTTTTTCTCCATTGACGAAATATGACCTGAGGTTATTGTGATTCGTTCTAGTAACTGTTCCACTAGAACCACCAGAGATCCTCTTAAATTCTGTTTTACGAACTGTCATCGAAGGAGAAGACGTGGAGTTTCGGTGCAATGCATCCGGCTTACCAGCTCCGACCATTGTCTGGGAAAGACTGGGTTCTAATTTACCCAATGACGCCCTTGATAGGGATGGAATACTGATGATCCCGTCTGTCGGTGCAGAAGATACTGGGACGTACTCCTGTAAAGCAGTTAATAGTGAAGGGCAGGACAGTTTTAGTGTCAAGTTGGAAGTGATAGGTACGATTAAGGAAAAAAATTGAACCCAAGAAAAGAGAGGATAAAGTTTCTCGAATCCAGGCTAATCAAAAATATTACTGAGAAAAATCACATTTAGAATCCAAGTTAGAGACATTCAAAGGTTTTATTTCTTGTAGCTCAACAGTAAGATACATCTCCCACAAATTTCAACGTGAAACAAATTTTAACGTCAATTACCATTGATCGTGTATCATTTCGTAGAGGCATATAATTGAGTTACACATTTTATCCTGGCGAAGTTCAACGATGCCGCCAACTGGAGGTGTAAAGGCCATTTCTTTATGTACCACTTTGACCAATAAGGCATCCTGTTTCTGAGCCTTCCATAAAAATTGTTCCCTCTTCATATGCTTTAATGTGAGGAAGCGCTTTGATTAATAACTTTCCCTCACTTTTACTTGGTAACTGTTCAAACTATAAAATATTTCAAAAAAGCCCTTTTTAAATAAGAAATGGCACATGTCTTACCCGTTTCTGTTCTACAAACTGTCAAATACAGTCAAATTTCCCTTAGGCAGACACCATCGGCAAGCAAAAACGTAATTTCATTGGGAGCTGGCCGGTAACAAATCATGCTTTTGTAGTGAAGTTCCTAATGGGAAGATTTGTTAAGGTGGCCGTAAGTGAAGCTGTCCGCTTGAGGCATATCTTATGTCCGTCAAAAGATAAAAGAGCTTAGACTGCTACTACCCTGTTATACACCTCTCCCATTATATCCTTTCAACGTGATTATTACTATCAACGATTCCAAGTAATGCTGTTTTTTGAACTTGTGGTTTTTTAACATTTACCAAACGTTTCGAAAACAATGGAAAAATGGAACACCACCTTTAGGAACTTTTAGGAGAAACGACAAATTTAAAAAGGTAGCCATGTGGTTGAATATCCAGACTGAAAGTTGTGTTTCCTTTCTTTCCCAAACTTGATTAATGTTTGAGACCAGTTTCAAGCTTTCGAGGCCTGTTTTGGGAATGGAACGAGTTTGTGAAATAGATTCCTGCTTTTACATTAACTTTAAGGCAACAACTGAAGGATCAAGGAGACAAAATATAATGATTTGTATTAAGTTGTCATACCAAGCCTCGAACCCCTTTTATTGTGGGCGCGATCCATTCAACCAAAATTCCAGCCGGTTCGACCGGGAAAAGTGGTCCACCTCAAAAGGTGGACCCGTTTTTCCGGTTGGACCGAACCGATCCACTGAGTTTTGGACCGAAATTTCCGGAAATTTTGGTTGAATGGATCGTGCCCTGTGTCTTCTCACCAGGGCAGAATTCTGGGGTTTTTTTACCTTAAAACTCGCAAATAGTGAACCGACCTATGTCTACATTTAACTGATAAACAACCCGACCCGTGCCTTTTTTCTTTCTTTTTTTAACCAGTGCCTCCTCTAATCGACGTGACTCCCTCCAAGATCTCCGTCAATCAAGGATCCTCCTTTAACATCTTTTGCATTGTTCAGCCATCACTTGCAATCACGTGGTCAAAACTCAATGGTAGTTTCCCAAACGGCATCGTGAGGGACAAGGGGACCTTAAAAGTCAGTGAGGCGAAACTGAAACATGCAGGAACATACCGCTGTTATGCTAACAATTCAGCGGGCTCCAGTGAAGGCTTTGCAAGCGTCGTCGTGTATGGTAGGAACCTTTAGGGGCCGTTAATTAAAAAATATATATGTCGCAGTATATAAAAGGTTTATACCTCAAGAGTTAAGGTAATAAAAGTTTTAATTGTAAAAACACAAATTAAAAAAAGGCCTTTCATCCCTTCTTCTTCTCTCTCAATGACTCCCATTTATTGAATTTTTTCCCTTTTATTTAGAAAGAAACATTCTATGTTGTACTATAAATTCTATATTGTACTACAAATGATGTTTTTTGTGATGGCAGTGAAAGTGTCTTTGAAATATACGTTCCAGTCTTGTTGCTCTTTGCATATCGATTATGTTGATTATTTATCAACTTTTATGTTTGGGAAATCAGTGCTGATCAACAAGCTAGTCAATTTTCAATTTCATCCCATGTTCAATTTGTCCTGGTTTTTTGACTGACTTTCGTTCTGATATCTCAGCTGCACCAAAAGTGGTGGTCTGGTCTAGATCTTTTGAAGCCGCGCATAAATCCAAAGTTACATTTCACTGCAACGCGACTGGCATACCCGACCCGGTGATCTCCTGGTCAAAAGAGGGAAGCGACATTCCCGTACGACACTCAGCTGGTGTCTTGAGTCTTACAGGAGTTATCAGTGACGATAATGGTCGATACATCTGCACAGCAAAAAATGCTGCTGGAACTTCTACAACATCTATAGAACTCACTGTCGAAGGTTTGTTAGAGCTTCGCTTTGAAGAAAAAGAAGTCACTTTCTGTTCATCTCGATCCCCTTTTTATGTTCATTTCCCCTTATCATGCCTAAGTTCATTGGTCTTGTTGACGACCCCATATTCTCAAAGTACAGTGCTTAATAATATCATAACCAAAAATTAATGTCCATAAATCTTTTTCAAATGTCGAGCCAATTCATTGCACTGTAATTATATTATGCTTTACCCTTGAGTTTATCCAATTGTTATTGTTATCATTATTATTATTATTATTGTTGTTGTTGTTGTTGTTGCTGCTGTAATTATTACTATTGTTATCTTTATCGTTTCTGACGTTGTATCAATATCATAATCATCGTCATTATCACTATCATTAAATCATTCGTATGAGAAGCCATGTAATCATATCCTTTTTAGATCTACCCAGTGTGGTTATAACAGGTGGAACCTCCGTCAAAACAGTTCAGTAGGAAAGAATTTGACTCTAGAATGCATCGCGAATGGAACTCCACAACCAGAAATACAATGGATCCGCGTCGATGGTCTGTTTCCCGAGGGACTCATTTCAAAAGGAGGACAGCTGATTTTTCCCCGCGCGCGGCTTGCCTATGGTGGTGTATATCGGTGCAAAGTCACTAACAGTGTTGGCTCTGCGTAATCTGAAGTAGCCATCTTTGTACAAGGTTGGTGTTTTCTATTTGTTCTTTTCTGTTGCTACCTTTCACGTTTACTCGTCTGCAAAAGAAATTAAAGCTAATGCAAGTAAAGCTAAAAAACGCTTGAAATATTTGACCGTCAATTGCAAAGACATTCACATTTGTGGGGAGTAGGAATGGTTCACTGGTTTGTCAACCGAGTTGATAAGCCACGATAATAAGACAAGATAAAATAGCGAAAGCTGGCGATTGCGTGTCCTCGTGTCAGACCAAGTGAGGAAGGCGTGAAAACATAAGCCTACTTTAAATCTTGCTGCGGTAAACCAAAATGACCTTATCCGATGGATTTTTTGGTACTACCACCCAACCACCCCAACCCTACGGTTACAACTAATATCCATCCGCAAAGATCATGCAGTTTTATTGACGATGTTGTTACTATTAAACATTGTGTTATTAACTCGAATGACAAGACTGTACTCTATTGACTCTTAGAGGCCCCCAAGGTCATGGTTACTCCACAGAAGTCACGTGTGAAAACTGGTGAGACCGTGCAATTCACTTGCATCGCTAGCGGCTCCCCGTCACCAGACCTAACATGGCGGAAAGTTAACGGATCGCTTCCAGTCAGCAGTACAGTGCAAAGAGGAGTTCTAAAGATTGCCAATGTGACTCAAAAGGATGCTGGGAGTTACAATTGTGAAGCCAAAAATGTTGAAGGATCGGCTAATAGAAGTGGAATTTTAGGAATTAAAGGTAAGGTATCAAAGGGTCGGCTCTTTGGAAGTAATTTTACTTTAACCTCCCTCCTTGTTTGATGTCTTGATTTTGACGAGTTTTCGTGCAAAAATTTTACAGTGCCTTTCCTCCTATACATTTTTTCCTGATGCAACTCC